AAAAAAAAAAAAAAAAAAGAGATTATGGGCTTTGGAATCAGCCTTTCTGGAACTAAAGTCCTGGCTTTGAAAATTACTAGTTGGTGAGCTTCAGTTGCCACATCTGTAAAATGGTAATAATTGTAGTGGCCTTTGTGTGATTATTGGGAGGATGGAGGGAGACAAATGCGGTAGACATGGAAGCATTAGTGCGAATCCTGGCAGAGAGTAAGCATTTGGTAGCATTGTTTTTATAGGTTGGACTTGTGAAGGGGAGGATAAGGAATTTAGCATACGTCAGAGAGTGTAGGGATCAGGAAGATCCTGGGCATTACAGAATTAACAATCTCTGCCCCTTTGAGTTATCTGGTATAGGTGAAGGGTCAAGAGCCTGAGGCCCAGAGAGGGGAAGTGATCCACTCAAGGTCACACAGCTGTTTATTGCTAGGACTAGGCCCTGCTTAGTGCTCCTAAGAGCAAAAGAGACTGGGAAGTAGTACATCCTGTAGCAGAGGCAGTCTGGTCCCATTCTCACGGTTTGAGTTTCAGGGACAGTGGTCTCTCCAAAATCGACTAGATACTTTTATGGGGAGTGGGGGCTAGAGAGCAAGTTTTGCCTAGAGTCTGATGGGGAGCCTGATAGAAGTGGTGGCTGGAGATCCGGTCTGGGAATGGGAGCTGTCATGACAGGCTGGACACCCAGGTCTCGCCTAACATGCCTTAGGAAATGTTGCCATTCTCCAACCACTCCACCCCCAATTGCTAGCCCCAAGGGAAGAAGGATATGAAGGGGGTGTGGTGTCTTACAGTGCTGGGAGATCCATCCCTCCGCAGCTGGAGCCTAGAGACAGAGTCTTTTTGTTAACCAATTTGTTAAGTAGGAACAACAATAATTATCAGAATAAGAGGATATTCATTGCTGAACACCCTAGAGGAAATGTGAGGGGGTCAGACATTTGGTTCTGAGGTAGGAGGACAGCCACTGGGCCGTAGGCTATGATATTCTCTTGTTCACAGGTGAAGACACATCTGCAGGCACAGGCAGCCTCAGAAATTGCTGTAGGGCACCAGTATAAGCATCAGGTGAGAGTTCCCAAGTCTGCCAAAGTCCCTGATCATCCTTTCTCTTTTCCCCTAGCTTTCTGCCTGTACCCAACAGCTCCAATCCCAGCTCAACCCATTGGTTCTGTCCCATTT